ATTTCCCCAGCAGTGACTTCCACAGTTTTAAGTACTAAATGAATAAAGAAGTATTTCCTTTTGTCTGCTCTGTATGTATTTCCCAATAGTTTCATTGCGTGCCTCAAGTTCTAGTATTTGGAGAGAGAAAGAACATGCTCCCTCTAGCCACTTTCTCAACCTGATGCATAATTTTATAAAACTCTATTATGTCTCCCCTTAGACTCTCCAGCATTTCCTCATAGAGAAGGTGCTCCAATCCCCCAAATCGTCTTGGTTGCCCTCCTCCTACTTTTTCCAGGTCTGCAACATCCTTTTTGAGATACAGTAACCAGAACTGTAGTTTTCCAAATGAGGCTGCACCATAGCTTTATACAAGAGCATTTCAATAGGGTCCATTTCATTTTCGATAACTTTCCTAATAATTCCTAGCACAGAGTTTTCTTATTTCACTGCTCCTGCACACTGGGTCGACGTTTTCACCAACCTCTCCACAACACCCCCTCCCCCACGGTTAGTCTTGAAAAGGCACAAACGGGAGAACAAGAGCATCTGGTCCCACCATGCTGTAGGGCCAATCAGGATCAGGCCCTCAGCATGTTTTAATTGTCCCTACTAGGCTGTAAAATGACAGTGGCATCCCTGGGCTATACCCAGGGATGTTGTCATGTCTAGTTGTGTCCTCAGTCTCAGCCAATTCAGACCCCATCGGCATGTATTTAAAATTATTACTTTTTGTTCCAATATGTATCGCCTTATACTTACCCACGCAGAACTTCATTTGTCACGTAGTGGCCCACTTACCCAATTTAGAGAGATCCTCCTGTAGCTCTTCACAATCTTGTCTTGTTTTTTCACCATCCTGAATAATTTGGTATCATCTGTAAACTTGACTGCTACACTGCTCAACCTCAATTCCAAATCACTTACTATGAACAAATTAAATGGCACTGGTCCCAGTACTGATCCTAGTGGGATCCCACTGCTCACTTCCCTTCATTGCGAGAAGTGTTCATTTGTTCCTACTCTCTGCTTCCTGCCATTAAACCAGCCTTTACTCCATGAGAGGTCCAGTTCTCTTATCCTATGATTGCTAAGCTAACTCAGGAAGCTTTGGTAAAGTACCTTATCAAAAGCCTTCTGGAAGTCCAAGTATATTCATTGTCTACCAGATTGCCCATACTGACATCCTTGTTAACCTGCTCAAAGAATGCCAAGCGATTGTTGAAGCAAGACTTCTATTTGCAGAAGCCATGTTGATTTTCCCTCAGCAGACTTTGTTCCTCAATAACTAATAATAACTTTCTTAATAATAACTCCTTAACAGTTTCTATGAATTTACTTGGAGCAGATATAAGGCTAAGTGGCCTATAATCGCCTAGATTTCCCCTGAACCCTTTAAAAAATTTGCTGTTATCTGCTATTTCATGCATAGAGGCCAGTTTTAGCAACAATTAATACATACTAATTAGTAGACTGACAATCTCATATTTGAGTTAAAGAATCCTCAGGTATACACCATTCCAGTGCTGCAGATATATTGGTTTTCAAGTTTTTCCTAGTAGTCCTAGAACTTTCTCTCATCACCTCCATTTGACTCAGTTCTTTAGACATCCTTCCTCAAAAGAGCAGCTCTATGTTCTCCACATTATCCACACTGAAAATAGATGAAAATCCATTCAGTTTCTCTACCATCCTTTTGAGCAATCTTTTTATTCCATTGTCCCTCCACTTAAGCAATCTTTTTATTCCTTTGTCCCTCCACTTCTGTCACCCCAGGCAATTGCCTAGGTGCACCTTGTGATCAGGCCAGCCCTGAATTCACCATCCAATATTTAAAGATCTACTTTTGAAGAGTTCAGCAATGTCAACAGAGCCAGGGAACTTTTAATAAACTTGGCTAATCCTAATGCCATACCACAAGATCCCCAAGGTTTCAAAAATGTCATCTAGAATGGGGCACTATTTGATAAATCCTTTTTGGGAATTAGTTGTGCAGAGCTACAGACACCAGTCTTTAAATATTATGCATCCCATATCTTTTTTAAAAGTAAAAAAATCTTTAGTTTTAAGGTATTTCTATATGCTCTCATGCACAAAAAATGGAAATCGTTACATAAAAGCTGATGGCAGCAGTATGGAGAGAACTCAAGGCTGTCACTTTCTGCAGCACGTGAGAAAAAACCAATCGTAGTCCAACATTTCATGCACGCTTACAGCTTAAGCTGTATGCAGCTACACTTTCCTATGGCTGCTAGGTTTTGTTCGTTTAAAAATTGACATTGCTGGACTTCCGGTTTAAGCGTTTAGTTGCTCGGACAAGTCTCGTTTCGCTTAGATGGAGACGCGCCGAGACCCGGCTAATGGGAAGGGTTCGAGTTCGTCCCGGACCCCCAGCCTGGGGAGCTGAGGAGAGCCTCTTCCAAGGGGACGCCCAAGGAATTGAGGCTCACCTCCGATAGGTACCGTCGCTGCGGAGCCAGCATGGCGCCCAGAGACGACTGCCGGAGCAAGCGATCATGATCAAACTTCTAAAAAGACTTCCAAAAGACCTCCAAGGCTACAAACTGTGAGTTAAGCAAAGCTCAGGTGAAAAATAAGCGAATGCAGCCTTGGTAGTAATTGGAAGCGCCTACGTTTGAAGCGTGGGGGGAGGGGATTTCAAGCCCCCCCATATGAGTAAACTGTAAAAATGGTTGTAAATCGAAAATAAAAAGACTTTGAGCCAAACCAAGCGTATAAGAAGTTAAGCGAACGGAAAAGCTGCTAAAATATACAAAGTGGAATTAAAATGCATAACTTTTGCTTTGTTTTGGAAAACTTACTTCTTGTTATGGCTGGGAGAGGACGGAGAGCACTGGAGAAAAAACTGGTGATCGGAAAAAACATACCAATGACTCCCTCCCAGAACCAGGAAGCATCTACAGACTTCTCCTCATTGTTAGCAAATGCACTGCGCCCTCTAATGGATCAGATGACTACTCTCAACACCAAGCTAGATAATGTGCAAAAACAACTAGAGCAGATGGATAAGAGAAAACAGATTGAGAGTATTAATATAAGAGTGGATGAAGCAGAGAAGGAGAGATCCTTGGATAAAACGCAACTAATACAGCTCCAGTTGGGAAGATCCATGTTCTACGTTTCCATGGGATACCTGAAGATAAGAATGAGGACTTAAAGGAACTCTTGGCGGTTGCCTTGGCCCCACTAATGGATTATAAACAAGAAGACTTAATTAAGGAAATGGATGTGGCATACAGGACTTATCCGGATTTTATAAAGAAAAATAAACTTCCAGGGGAAACTTACTTAAAATTCAGGAAACGATCAACCAGAGAACTGGTGCTAAAGTCAACAATAGGGAAATCCTTAAAAATCAAGAATGAAGAGATAAACATTTTGAAAGACATTCCATTTGAAGTAAGAAAACGGAGGAAATTATACAGGATGCTTACTCTCTCCCTGCAAAAAAAGGGAACACCATATATATGGCTATACCCAGAAGGGCTGAGTTTTAATTACCAGGATAAAAAATATAAAATTGACTCTGTTCCAAAAGCGGAAAGATTTATGGATCAAATGTTCAATGTAAAAAAGAAGCAGAAGGAAAATAATCTAAAACCGGATGTGGAGGAGAAGGAAGAAGAAGAGGAGGAGGAGGAGTCCTACTCACAGGACTCAACAAGTCAAATTTCCTCATCATCAAAAT